TCGATGGTAGCTTCCTTCAACTCGCTAGAGTCCCCGGCTGGCTTGGTCTCGATGGTAGCTTCCTTCAACTCGCTAGAGTCCTCGACTGGCTTGTTCTCGATGGACTTGGAATCATTGCCACTGGCCGCATCATTGGAATGATGTGCCTCAAATGCGGCTCTTGCAGCTTCTTGGGCTTTCAACTTTTCATTCTCCTTACGCATAGCACAGTCATTGATGTAGGATTGGCCTTTCGTAACTTCATCTTGACATTCCTGAGCAGATGCCGGAGTATTATCATATGCTGCGTCTTCAGCTGCATCATGTATTGCCGCCGTCTCATCGCGCCGTCTCATCGCCATCAGCACCATCTTCCGCAGTGAATGGCTGCTGCTGCATATTTACATCCTGATCCACCCTTGCCAATGCTTCGGCAGTCGCAGCGGCAAGAGCATCCTCAAAGGTCTCGTTTGCTGGCTCTTCCCGACATGGCTTGCCCTTCACATAGGCGTCAAATTTGTCACACCATTCTTTAGGGTTTTTCACTGCAAATCCCAACTTACCATCTAGGTCGGGCACCTTCTGTGTCAGCAGAAAATCTGCAAAGTCAGGATGTGTAATGCATGTCTCCCTGCGCTTCCACAATTCTGCAAACCATTTGTCAGAACGTTGCTTGTAGTAAGCATAGGATTGCCCAACCACCTTCTTTTGCCACACTGCAAACGCGGCCTTGGAATCTGCATCAACAGGCTCGGCTTTGACCTTGGCAGCAGGCTCATTTTTGACTTTGGGCGTAGGCTGGGCGTATGTGCGCATATCACCCTTTCCAAATGCACCCTGTGGCTTTGGGCTTGGCTTGGCCTTTTTTGCAGCTGGTTGCGGCATTGCTGGTCTCAGTGAAACAACACTAGATTAGACTACACTGATTGACCTTGATCGATCTGCCATTGTGACAAAGGCGGCAGTCAGCAAGTAATGCTGTGGCTGTAACAGTATCCGAATTGTTCACATGATGGTGCAGCGCAGACAATATCAACTCCACATCAAACATGATTGAGATTGACAGACAGTTCTGACTCTGACTCCCATTCCGCATTTGCCACGTGTCACATGTCTTCCTCAAGAGAAAGCGTGAATCCGTAGTCTGAAGTAAAGCTACTAAAGCCCGCCAAAAAAGTGTGCGCTTTTTTTCCCTTCCGCCTCCAGATGTTGCAGCCCGGAACCCGCAGCCAAACCGCACAAGTCTGGAGCAGCCTACCCTACCAGTACAGTACAGTACAATAGACCATGGACGATTGTCACAGTCTGACAGCCTATCTGTATCTAAGAACCTGTCACACTTTGTCTATTGAATTTCATTTGCAAGTAACTAGGTTGCTGTGTCGCAGATCCGTCAATGATCGACGGCCATCAGCTATACGCCATGGGCCATAGGCCATAGCCATAGCCAGCACTCAATAGCAACCCAAAATCAAAATAAAGTGAAACTTTGCCAAAATGGCTTGGAATTGCCCTTCACTTGTTTGCGCCACATTCTGGAGACTTACGCTTCTTTCCGCTTGGGGCGGCTGCATCCTGAAGTGTGCCCAGCAACTGCTGCAGCCCTTTGATCACAAATGGTGGCACTTCAACTGCTTTGGCTTTGGCAAACTCCAGAAGCTTTTGCACAGAGGGACGGAGGCTCGCGGACTTGCATTTGGCAGCTTGTGACCACAAGATCTTGAGAGCAGCATAAACAGTGACCACCAGCAAACACTGTTTCCGCTCTGCTTCAGCCTGTTGAACAGATGGCACGAGCTGTTCCACAGGCACTTTCATGACTTCGCAATCTGCCTTGAGGGAGGACAAGCTGGATTCCAATCGATCAAGAAGACTTGAGAACTTTTTGTAGCTGTCACCGGTGCCCCAATGACTGAGAAAAGCTTCCTCGTTGCCCTCCTTGGTCTCTGGGAAGTGCTTGAAGTGCTGCAACTCGCCCTGCAGGTTCACCAAGGTCTGTGAATGCTGATCAGCCAAAAACGAGAAGGTCTTGTTCATGGTGATGTGCAACCCTTCCTCGAATGAAAGTGAGTTGCGGCGATTAAGTTAATTCCAAAAATCCCACTACTTCGGAAACAGAGGCTAGGAAAGAAGCCTTGTGTTTCAATCTCCAAGCGACCAAGAAATCCACCAACATCTGCCCCTCAACGATGGTATTGTCCTGGGAATGTTTCCGAACTTCGTCTGACCAAATCACCTTGTATAGCTCTTCTGCCTTTTGCCTTGGCCAAAGTTGAAAATGGTTTGTAAAGAGAAGCTAAGCACCACCATGAAAACCCGTGAACACGAAGAGTGTAAGTAACATAACTTAACAGTACAGTAGGTCAGTAGGTACTAAACTAAAATGAAAAAAATAAAGCAACTCCGGGCTAGGTACATCAGCACAGTCTTGTCGAGCTTGATGTCTTTCTCCAAAGACGAGGAAGCAAGCCCGAGAGACATCATAAGGTCAAACAATTGGATCACACCGGATGCACTTGGTGGAGAATCAGCATCATCAGACTGCACAACCTTGCTGAACTTGACAATTCTACTGAGAAAGTCTGTGGCACCCTTCACTGACTTGGTGATGTCTGACTCGCTCCCATTTCCTTCCTCCAGCCCCGTGGCAAGCAACTGGGCATTTGGAATACAATCCTCGGCCTTTTGCACCATGTCATCAGGTAGTGCGTTGGAATCGACTCTCCAGGCTGTGCTAACAAGCTTAGACACAACCTGGATCGGTAGGTCGACTGCTTCAGCCCATGTCCTAAAGCAAGACGATGTAATGAGGTGCTTCACCTCTTCATCAAACGCTTGAATGACCCCAAATGCGGATGGATTTGACACTAGAAGTGCATTCTTGGAATGAAGCCAGGTGGTATAGCTTGAACAAAGCTCCACTGCAATGGATCGTAGCTCTTGCGAGGTAGCAGAGCCTGGAACAGTGCGAAAGTTCAAGTCGACTTGCACTGCGAGAGCGCCAAGACAATCATAGAATTTCTCGAGTTCACTGAGGGTGGAGACCTTTTGAGTTGATGAGGACTCCAGCAAATAGTTCATCTTCAGCACAGGAAACGCTGGTGGCTTCGACATAGTCCTGGTGGCCTTCAAAGCGGTTGTTTGGACTTGCGTGACTTGCAGCCACGGCAACCCATCCAGCTTCAAATGGTGGCTGACTAGGTGAAGTGCAAGGTGAGAGAGCTTCTTCCTAGCATCGTCCGCAGCAGCTGCACACCCTTCATCTTTGGATGGATCACACTGTGCCAAGAGCTTCTTCATTCCTGAAGTGAGGCCTTGAAGCTTCCCACATGCAGCTTCCTGATTGAGCCCGTCCAGGCTGTCGAAGCATGTGTCAGCTTCAAAGCAAATATCCTTCATGCCCTTGAGAAATTGAACCAAGTGTGTCTTGGTGGATGCAAACTCCTCAGCCAGAGCCATGAGCTTCTTTCCCTGGGGTAGGCACCGGAAAGAGACCAAAGCAGAAGCCTCTGTGCCTGCCTTCTTCATAGTATCCAGGGTCGATGTGATGTCAGTAGGAGGGGTGCTGCAAGCGTTCACAATGTCACCAATGTGCTTGCATTGGCAACGGAAGCTTTCAAGTGGAAATTCCGCAGACATGGTCTTGATAAAGCCGCGCAAAGAAGCCAGCTCATCACAGTTTGCGGATAGTGCAACCTGATCACTGATCCGGGCAAAGACGGGCATTGACATTGATTGATCAATGAATCATTGATCATTGATCATTGAATCATTGATTACTAGTCAGTCTACTACATTGGGGGGTGGGCACACAAAACTAAACAAACCACTGAAACTAATTCACAAGGCAGAAGCTTTCTTCTCGTTGATGCCCTTGATGAGCTTCTGCAAGACTACTAGGACCTGTTGCTCCAGAAAGGAAGCAGCATCCAAGGCGGTACCACTGAGGTGCTTTGAGACAAAGTCATAAGTTGAGCCGACCATGTCAGTCCATCTCTGCAGCTTTCGTTCCACTTGATCTTGCCAGCTCTGACAAAGACATATGGGCCAAAGTTGGCGCCTAGATCCACAAGCTCTGACAATTGATGAATACAATCATCTCCCGAGCTCGAGTTGCCTTTGTTGATCAACTTCAGAAAGTCATTGAGCTTGAGAAGTGCAGTCTCCATTGCTTCGGCAACCTTCATTGGCTGCTCCTTGTTCTCCTCAGTTCTGCGATTGAGGGTGCGCTTCCTTGCTCTGACTCCTTGGAGGACCACGCTGAGCTCCTTCGTCTCGGCAATGAACTCAGCCTTGAAGTCAGCATCACTTTCTCCAGGAGTGAAAGACAAAAGAGACTCCACCTTGCCCTTGTACTCATCACACCAAGTGGCATCTGCGGTTTGCATGTGTTCAGTCATGCTGCATGTCTTTGACAGGGGTTCCATGTTCTCAACCATGGAGACTCGCTTCGTAGCATTGTTCACACGTTGGCGTTTCGGTGATTGTCCAGCACATTGATCATCAGTATGTTTGGGCTTCTCGAACATGGAAAGGCCAGCAATATCACCAGCACTGGCTTTTGCCTTCGCTTTCACCTTGGATCAGTAGATGAGTAGATGAATAGAGACCCCCCCCCCCCTCCCCCCGCCCCGCCCCGCCCTCCCACATGCATGCAGGCTAGGCGCCTTGGCGGTGGCTTTCCCCTTTGCTTTGGCCTTGCTGGCAGCGGGTACATCGGCAGCCTTTGGCTTGAAGCTTGCAAACATTGATGGAACCGAGATCTCCTCCTCTGGCACACCAGCAGCAGCAGCAGCTGCAACTGAAGGAGCTGCAGCAGTAGAACATGGAGAGGAAGCTACAGTAGCTGCAGCTTTTGTCGCTGTTGGCGGCAAAGGCTCTTCATTGTCTGGAATAAGATCCAGAAGAGCTGATGATTTCATCAAGCATGGATCACAGGTGATGGCCTTGTGTCTACCAAGCAGATTATCAATGGCTGTACCAAGCGTCTTTCCTGCCAGATCATCGCAGAGTTGGAGGTCGTTGTCACTGTTGTGGAGCTCATGATGGCGCTTCACTCCAGTGGTTGCCTTGCTCTCAAGTTTGTACACTCCTCGCATCCCGCTTTCCCAAGCTTGTAGAAATTCTCGTCCCACACACACCACCTCAAGTTGAGGAAAGGAAAGCCAATGCCAATGCAGTGCAATTATGAATTCCAAATTCCAAATGCTGAAAATTGCAAGTCAATGTTTCAGTCACAAGTCACAGCGGGATACAATCACTGAGTCAGTGAACTATATATAATGGCTAGCTTTCAGACAAAGACATGCCAGCTACAGGTGTCTCATTAAACTTGCGGTAAGCGATCTCGTGCTCAATTGGCATCACCCCTTTGATAACGGCATAGCTGCTGACTTCAACAAAGAATTGCAAAGGAGCAATAAGCTCCTCAACATTTGATTCCTCTGCGGTGACCATCCTTGGCAAAAAACAGTATCAATATCAATATCTATAATAAATAATATTAATATCAATGTCAAGGACACAACACAACACAGTACAGTCCAGTACAAACACTCAGAGTTCAGCACTACAATTGCAACTACATCAGCGAAGGTTCACCCTTGGACCAAGTTGATCTGAATTACGAATCCTGCAAAGGGGGTTTTCAATCCGGAGCTTGATCAGAGCCTCCCGTTGTTGCATCCACCTAAGTCACTCTAGACAGCAGCCTGACCACACTCATAAATACTCAACATGCAGTAGACAGTAACGTAGTAGTAATAGTAACAGTAATAGTAACTAGTAACAGTAACACAACTGAATTCATTCAATCGACGCATGCGATCTGACAGGATTGGTTTTGAACAGGCTGGCGCATTTCCGGATAGACTGACCCAATCTCAACAGACCAGCCTCCGGATTCGTGCACCTGACTCGAGGTAGGCAACAGGCAAGGCAGGCAGGCAGCATGCATGCTGGTTGACACAAGTGTTGACACAACTGCCGGCTGCAACAAAGGCACATTTGCACAGATCAAACATGTCAACCCACGCGGAGTATCGCGGGTTCCTAGGAACCAGGCAATTTTTGGCCACCACTTGTCCTTGGCCTTGTCGCGGGGCTCGTAAGGAGCCGGATCTGAAGAGAGAGCATTACAGAACTGGCACCTGAGCACTACAACTACCTTGTCCGCCTCAACCTTGGAGAGGGCCATGTTGGTTCACAAGGTGTGATATGGCCCGGACGTCTCGGGCTTTGGGCAAAATGGGCTGTTGTGGTACGAATCGAACACCAAACACTCCAGTAAATGCAATTGATGCACATGTCCACACACACGTGCACTCGCACGTGCACTCGTGCACGTACACGTATATACTACTTGCACACATGCACGTATATACGCACAGGTTTGACTCGTACAAAAATAAGGTTGACTTTTAGGTCAAAGTCAACCTTAACTTAGATTAAGGTTGACTTTGACCCCCGTAGTCGACCTTATTTTTGTACGAGTCAAAACTGTACATGTGGACATACGTGTGTGCAAGTACATGTGCACGAGTGAACGCCTTAATGTACGAGTACATGAACCAGTGAACCAGTATATACTGCTATGCTATGCTGGTATATGCTGGAATGCAAGACTTTTCCACTTGTGACGTCTGATTGAACCAGTCTGCGACTGCTTCTTCCCAGGAACCAGCCCGGGTACCCAATGAATTAAGCGTTCACAGTGAATGCATCCTCCAGAGCGGGTGTTCCCTCCAGGTCCTCCATGTGCCTCAAGCAGCATTTGCTGCATCCGTTGGATCCTGCTGGGTATTGCTCAATATGTCACCATTGCCTGGCAGAAATTTCACTGTCCAATTTCAAATATGCACAGCACACCTGATCGTATCCCCTACTGCTTATCATTACCATCATTCACACACATCAAGAAAGCCAGAGTGCTCCATACAATTGTGTGTGCTCTTTTTTGGAAGAGCGTGGCATTGATGCCCCATGGTAAAGCCACGCCATTACCTTGTCAGTGGTCCCTTGTCCTGAAGGCGCAAAAGCTTTCCAAGACTTGACCACACTGCATCCATGCCGCTGACACCGGACAGCTATGGAATGCCCTTTCTGGCCCTTCTTGATCTCAGTGATGCGTCCTCAAATGCATGCTTTACAGCTGCAGGTTTCTGCACGGATAAATATAAACACAATTGTGGGTGATAGCGATAGGCGATCGGCGATAGATAGACTTGACCGGCCCGATGCAAGCAATGAAACAAAATTGGCCAAGACTCCCAAGTACTCTGTTGGGCCATCGACCCTCTCCTGCTGGTAGACATAGCCATCATCTGCAAGAAAGTATGGTGGTTCCCGACGTCTGGGGGAAGAAGGACGCGCAGACGAAGACGAAGATGCCGTCGCCGACGCCTTACATTGCATGGTCAAATTGTGGACAAATTGAGGCGCTCCTAGTCCTATCACTCTTGAGATCCTTGTGTCCTCTCCGCGCTATTCAATGCAACAGCCATATGCTTTAAACATGAATAAACTTCCCTGTTTTGTGTGTTCTTTCTCCCTACTTGCAACAGGCTCAGCTCGATGTCCTGATTCATAGTGATAGTATTTAGTACAAGCCAAGCTTCTTTTTGAGTTGTGCGCTCCTTCTGACTGCGGTCCTTCCGACCTCTCTGCGTGGGGGCAGCAGTAGGAACATCAGGTGGGTCAGACTGTGGATCAAATGAGAAGCAAGAGCAGTGGCCCTTGGCCCTGTCCCTGGCTTCCAACCATTCGGCAAGGAGTTCTGACAACTCTGGGTCAACCTCGGCCTGCTCGTCTTTTGGCAAGTCTCCTGAGCCGTACACTTCAGCTTCAACAAAAACAACACTTCCCGACACACTTCTTGCTATATCAGTACCTCCATAATTCCGTAATATTCTATCCAACCCAACTCCAACCTATAGTTTTAGCAGACAGTACACTGTATGTATGTAATATGGTTTATACTAGACTATACTATACTATACTTATACTATTTCCTAGGTCTATGACTCAAATGGTTATTGATTGAGTCTTTTGTTGCTTCCTCTGATTGAACTTGCTTTGTAGTGCTTCCTACCGAGGTGGGTTTATCAGGAAAGGAAGGAGCATTGATTCTGACAATAGCAAGTGCTTCTCCTAAATAGTTATTTCATGGTCCAATTGATTGTAGACAGGATGCTGTATCTGTATGTGTACCAGTATGTAGTCAATACGATTAACATAGGCGTGTTTGATGACGGGGCTGTTGAATATAGTGGTAATTAGTATCCAGTATCATCATCATATTATATTAACATGTGATCAGTGATGAGTAAACAGTCACTCATAATTAGTAGTTAGTAGCGACAAATCATGGTCATCATTCATTGTCATTGTCATTGTGATTATTAGCAGTTAGTTTTCCAAAAGTAGGTATGTCAGTGCATGTCAGTTCTGTATGTCATGTTTGTATGAAGTATGTATATATATAATATATATCAGAACACTAATGCTAGTGTTCATTGTTCTTAGGTGATTCATAGATTCATATTTGAGTAATAGTCATAGTCATTTGGTCATTGAATCATTAATCATAGTCAGAGTCATTGTCATAGTAATTGACATTGGTAATGCATGTTCTCTGTGGGGCAATGCTGAATATTGGCCACTGCTGCAGATCATCAAGTATTCTGAAATGTGAAAACAATTCCGTACGAATACCGACTAGACTAGACCGACTA